AAAAAAAAAAAAAAAAAAAAAACAGCCAGAGCTGCCGGGAATCTTGTAGGAGTTAAGCTTTGGAATGAAGGAACTTGATGATTTTAAAGCCCCTTCCAAGCTGAGGTCTTTGGACAGTGCCTGCGGGCTGCGTTTCCTGGTCTCCTGGGCTCTGGGTTGGTTGGTTATTTCTTCGTTGTCTCCCCATCATTCAGTGCGGCTTCAGCTCACCATCTCTATAATCTTCTGTCTCATTCTACAGCAGCATGCTACATGGGGTGGAAGCAACACACACTGGCTATAAAATTAAAAAATTTTTTAAATGCCTTTGGAAGTTTCCACTGGTGCCTCCGGGCACTCTGGTCACCTCTCCGAGGCGTCTGGTAACCAGCAAGAGAGTGTGGATGATGCAGTGTATGTTAACACCAGAGCAGTTACCTCATGTCTGAGTCTTGCTGCAACGTGAGGTCAGCCCAAGAAACAACAAGCTCAAAAAAAGGGGGCGATTCTCTACCCAGTTTTCCTGAGCTTTGGAGAATTAGCATTTTCTAATGATCTGTATTTCTCAGCCTTTAAATGTTTATGGAATTTTTTTTTTTTTTTAAAGTTTCTTTGCACAGAGCCCCGCAGCAATGCTAGCCAGGCAGGGAAGAGGTTGGAAGTGAGCAACGTAAGTTGGGCACAAGAAGTGTGGATCAGCAAAGCAAGGACGCTGTTGGAGCCTACCTTTCTGCTTCTTTGGGCATCATATGGTGGAGGGCCAGGAATCATTGGCCCCTGTACTTTCTCTGTGGGAGAAGAGAGAGACAGCAGCAACATGGACAGTACGTCCGGTCACCTTAAGGGACCAATAATTTGGGGTTCCGTGGCAGATGCCTTTGTTGGGGAAATGTTCAAGTGCATTCTGACTTGACGTGGGGAACTCCCCTTCATGCCATGTGAAACCATTCAGGCCTGCTTTCTGGCAGGTCCATAAACAACCAAAGTCCCCATTAGGGTTTCCTGCCACCAAAGAACCCAAGCCACAGACCCTGAAGCAAGACCAACACCTGCCCCAATGGCTCAGGCATTGGCTAAGGTCGCCCCTGGTAATCATGAGAGAGGAGCACAGACACTAAGGGGCAAAGGAGTGAGCTGGTTGTGAAGCATGAGGGCCGAAGCGTTGGTCTTTTGGGGGCCACAAGTACGAGGGCAAGAAAAAGCATGCCTCGCTGCTTCTTTCCTTCTTTCGTTTCAAGAATATTTGTAGACGTTGAGGAAGATAGGCCCCATAACTACATATGTAGATATGCCCCCAAAGCAATAAAAATATGAAGTTTCCAGAAAGTTGTTTATGAGCGGAGGAAATTTCCAGGGTGGAGAGGAGATGGAACAAGGTGCCTATTTGATACGACGCTGAGCGCAACGGCTAAATATGAAGTGCTCGGTGCCATGATAGAAAAACCATGTCTGCCTGCAGAAGCGAAAATTAAAATGCTGTATGAAGGCTCAAAAACAGAAAATAAAACCTGCCAGAGCATAGTATGGTAATAGTCCAAGGGCCTTTTGAGGAACCTAAGCGTAAAATGATGCACCATGATGGGAAAAAAAATTTGATTCATGCTTCTTTTCAACTGGTGTCTCCCTTCGGATTCTGGCCTCGGGGACGCTCTGTGTTGGGCGGTGTCTGGCCAGCTAAGACCCCTGCGGGAGGTATGTGCCTGGTGACTGTCTGCACGCAGGATTGCAGGGAACCCTCCCCGCGCCGACCAACATGCCTTCAAACACTTTATTGTTTTTCCAGACTTACTTCCAGCGGATGTTTTGTGCTCAGGCAGGGAGGCCGGTATTTTGGGGACAGAGGTTGGGGCAGCTGAGTGGAGGCAGGGGAGAGGGGTGCTAATTCCTGGTGCTTTGTCCTCTGTCCTGTTGTTGAGGAGGGGGCCGGGGCTCAAACATCCCCCACTCTGGCAAGAGGTGGGGCGCAAGTAGCTGAGCTCCTGGACACAGAAGACACCACATTCGTTGGATCCCTCCAACGTATCTGATCTTTCTGGACTTGCACAGAAAACAAGGAAACCGTGTGGGGTAAGAAGCTCTAGCACCAAATTCACACTTTCACAAAAGGTGCTGGAGCATTTGCTCTGGTTGTCTGGGAGGGGAGCTATACCTTTAAATGTCAGACACCACACTTCAATGTTAAAATGTATTTTCCCGGGGTGGAGAAGAAACAGTGGTGTCCTGAGTGCCTCTATGCCCCGTCTGGTGGCCTGGCATGCCCGGATTCATCTGGCCTGCTTGGAAGCGCTTGGTCTCCATACTTCAGCTTTTCAGCCGTCCCAGACAGAGTGGCCGTCCCCTATAACCGCGCTCTGTAACATCACCCGCACTGGACATGGGAGGGGGCCGGTGGGGGCGGGGGGCTGGGACGGATGCCCACAGTACTTGGGACGATTCTGGAGTCCCCCGGGGACACCGGGGCTCAGGTGTGCATCTCCCCAGGTGTCGTTCACTGTACAGGGACAGGATGCCCCCTTGTGGACACCACGTGGACAATTGTTTATCACCCCCATTTTAAAGCCAAAGCAACCGAGGTCTGGAGGGCTTCAGAAATTGGTTCAAAGGCGGACGCCAGTGGAGAGCAGCCTGGGAGCTAAGCTCCAGGCCTCCTAAGTCTTAGTCGGCCATCGGCCCGCAGCTTCATGCTCTGATGTGAGATGGCCCGAGAGAGAGAGACAGGGAGCTAACCTCCCTTCTCTACCTTAGAATTAGCCTCGTGCCCCTGATGCTTCCATGTTGCCGGCCAGGCCACTTTCCCCACAGCATTTTCTGTTTTCATTTGCACCAAGAGATAAATGCTTTCCGAAACTTCCCTGTGGCCTCCTGGAATGAGGCAGATTAAAGCCAAACCTATCACCACGCTAACCCTGTCCTTCTTTCTTCCCGGTGCCGCCCCACAGCCTGGACCCGCCAGGCGGCCCCACCAGTATCTCTGTCGGGCACACCCCGTTGGCAGAGGCCGTATTTACAGGCCAAGGGCTGCGGGAAATGAGATTGGGCCGTCACAAGGCGCGGTGGGGACGGACCTCAGAGGAAGTGCGAGCCCTCTCGGCTGGCAGTTCAGACTCAGGGCCACTGGGGGGAGTTTGGGCTTTCTGGGAGCCCAGAAGGTTCTGGGCTTGGGGTGGCCAGAGGTCGAAGAAGGAAAAGGAGTCCTTTGTCATTTTACAAAAAGTGGGAGATCTGTATGTGTTTCGGAGCCTGACCTGTGAGAAAGTGCCGAGAGACCGTGTTTTGAAATCGCGGTGGCGCAAGAGAATGATATATCGTGCAGCAGGGAGGCTGCAGAAAAGGTATCTATCTTGAGTCCGATTTTTAATTTAAACTTAATGGAAAACACATTTTGCGTTCCGCGGCCTTCCCACCGGCAGCCTCAGATGGTTGGGCAAAGGTGATGGGTCCGGGCAATTAAGCTGGTGAAGCATTATCCCTTCCAGGCCGGGATCTGACCAGTAAAAGAGACCAGGATTCGGGCAGAACAAAAGACCAGATTGCCCTGGACTCAGTCGTCCAGCCAGGCCTGTTGTTGAGAACATGGAGCCGTATTTCTCCGCTCCCTCCTCCCGCCCTACCCCTACACTTCAGCCAGAGCCATTGATGCAGCCCAGAGAAAGGGAAACCCACATTCAATAGGCAGGAGACAAAGGCTTTGGCACCGGAAGGAGGACGGTTGTCTCCCCGGCTCCAGGTGTCCCCGATGAAGAGCAAGTTACGCTGGGGGAACGTAGAACCAAAGAAAGACCCATTGTTGGGCCTCTACCTCACACCTGCAAAGCTTCACTCTGCTCATTTCCATCTTTTTGCAGATCCCTAATATGATATCCAGTGACGGATGGACTCAAAAAGGGGAAATTATTTTTCCCTTATGCTTTCACTTTGGAAAGGCCAGTCCATTCTCGGCAGCAGTCACTTCATGCTTTCCGGGGCCCCGGATTAGCAGATATACTTATATGCCTGTGTCCGTACGTTAAGCAAATAAATAAACGTTCTAACTGAAGGGTGCAGAGTCGAGTAAAAATCATAAATGCACAACTCAAGAAACTGGCACAAAGGGAATCCCCTCGCTTGGTTGTTGTTGTTGTTGTTTAAGTTTATTTATTTATTTTGAGAGCAATAGAGATAGCACCAGTGGGGTGGAGGCAGAGAGAGGGAGAGAGTGAGAGAATCCCAAGCAGGCTCCACACTGTCAGTGCAGAGCCTGATGCGGGGCTCGAACTCACGAACCGTGAGATCATGACTTGAGCCGAAACCAAGAACCGGAAGCTTAACCGGCTGAGCCACCCGGACACCCCTCCACTCACTTGTATAATCACCCCCCAGGTCAAGGAGTAGACCAGAAGCCCCCTTGCGCCCTCTCTCTGTCCCCCACTCCTCCCTAGCAAGGTAACCACTGTCTTGATTCCCGACGCCATAGGTGAGTTTTGTCTGTTTCTTAGATTTAGCCTGAAGGCTGCAGGGTCTGCTGGACTGAGAACAGGTTTTGCAGATAAACCAGAATGGGAATCCTGGCTTCCTGGACTTTGTGGCTCTGTGACCCTGAGCAAATGACTTGACTTCTCCCAGTGCTGATCCGTAAAAGGAGAAGAACGTGACACTGGCTTTGCCTGGCTCATGTTAGGGATAAAAGGAGAGAATAGATATAAAGTGTCCGCTGCATACTGCTTTCAGGAGAGTTGCCTTCCCTCCTCCTATCACAGCCTGTTTACTCCAACAGGACGACAGGACGGTGTCAGGAAAGATTAGGAGCTCACCTTAGCTCTACACAGATGGAGCCTCAAAGCAGGAGAAAGAAAATCCAAAGCAACAGAGCGAGAGACGAGGCTCCAGGAAGGACCTTCTTGTATCAGAACAAATTCCCATAAGAAAAGGGTGTGCCGTGCCACCCCCTGTAGCCTGAAGAACTTGTCAAGTAAAAATCGGAGAAGAGAAAAGATGTCAGTCCCTTGGGAGGGAGGCCAGATGCCCCCCAACCAGCCCCTCCTTCCAGGAGTGAAACTTGAACCAGGAACGGTCTTCAGGGCAAAATCCTTTTCCTAGGTTACCATGAAATATGTATTTCATGCAAGCTTTGCAGAGGTCAAACGACCCTTTCTCTCGGCTTTCTGGGAGTTTCCTGTGGAATTCATATGTGCCCAAAGAAGAACTTTCACCAAGAGGAAAATTTAATAAATGTGGTTTATCTAAGCTTCGTGCTCTCAGCTAAATCTGCACTAATGACTCAGGCAGTTTGCTCCTCTGAGACCATCATTTTTCTTTATTTGCTCCAGCCGTGAGGTTTCAGCCTGAGGGAGAGAATGTCGGGGACAGAAAGGCAGACATTCTTGGTCTTACTCCTGAGACTTTTTTTTCTATTCCCTTGGAACGCTCGGTTCTATTTCTTAACCTCCTTCCAGTCATGGAGGATTATTTCTTATTGCAGCAGAACCCGTCCGCAACTCCAGGTCCAGAAGACAAGACAAACGCTCAGCAAGCTCTTTTATAAAGGGGTCATTGTATGTCATTGCGGTGTCTGTGGGAGAAGGGGTATAAAAATAGTAATGATAACCAGCTAGCATTTGCTGAACACTTACTATGAACCAAGGTCTTTTTTGAGCACTTTACAGGTATTATTCTATCCAATTGTTGCAACAACTGTGCTATGTAGATGTTATTATTAGCCCATTTTATTGTTTTTAAAGCTTTTTGTTAATGTTTATTTACATTTGAGAGAGAGACAGACAGAGCCTGAGCCGGGGAGGGCCAGAGAGAGAGGGAGACATAGAATCAGAAGCAGGCTCCAGGCTCTGAGCTGTCAGCACGGAGCCTGACGCGGGACTTGAACCCATGAACCATGAGATCATGACCTGAGCCAAAGTAGGACACTTAACTGACTGAACCACCCAGGTGCCCTTTAAAGCTTTTTTTTTTTTTTTAAGTTTATTTATTTATGGAAAGAGAGAGAGAGCAAGAACACAGGCAGAGAGAGAGAAAGAGAGAGAGAGAGAGAGGGAGAGAGAGAATCCCAAGCAGGCTTCACACCATTAGCTCAGACCCCGACGCGGGGTGCAAATCCACAAACTGTGAGATCATAACCCAAGCAGAAATCAAGAGTCAGACGCTTAACCGACTGAGTCACCCAGGCACCCCAGCCCATTTCTGACACCATTTTCACCATTTTCTCTGTGGCTTAGAGAGATTGGGTAAATTGAGGGAGGCTACTGAGCTAAGGGTTAAGAGGCAGGTCTAACTTTCAACTCTTGTCTGCATAACAACTGTATTGAAATGAGGTTGTCACAGCCTCACCTGATCCTTGATGTTTTTCAGAACGGACTAACCAAATGCCTCTGGTTCTTGGGATATTATATGCACGTGACTGTTTCCTTTCTAAAACGGTCTGCACACATCCACGCTTTGGCATATTGTGGTCTCAGAACCGCCTCCACCCCGCCCCTCTTTTTCGCTTGGAATGGTTTCAGAGCTAGAAGGAACGGTCGCCCAAGCCACAAGTCATAGGTGCTGGGCAGCTGGGTGATTCCCGTAAAATTCTCTCCCTCGTCGTCTGGCCTGGAAGGGCACACATTTTCTCCGAGGCGCACAACCAAACGCCCACAGCTGGGTGAGGCAGCGGCTGTGCTCCTGCAACCCCGCCATGACTGGAGGCTAAAAATAGGAGCGTCTGCCAGCCCATCCCCTGTCCTAAGCCCTGGCACCCAAGTCAGCCGCCCGTCTGCAGAGGGAAGGGAAAATTTGCAAAGACTTCCCCAGCCTCCAACACCTATGGCAGGCTTATCCTGTAGTCTGCAAAAGCACATCCCAGCCCTGGTCTTGAAGGCACTTGTGAGTTTCCCCAGGAGACTCTCGAGGAGAATTGCAAACATGCCTACAGTTCACAAAACGAAACTCTTGGGTTCTTTTGAAACTAAGGAACGAGCCCCATTTTAGGGGAAAGGGGGAGTTTTTACATGCAACAGAAAAGAACTGTCACCCCTGTGAAATTCCTAGGGCAGTGCCCGGTAAGAGTAGTTACGCGTTAAGGGTTCATCTTAGGAGATGGGGTAGCAGCACTCTGGAAATTGAATGGATTGTGCCCCACGATCAGCTGTGTTCTCTCAGACATTTGCAAAGGAAGGCGAGGGTTACTACTGGCCCTCCTGCCATCCTGACCCCTTCCCAACCGCCAACACTCCCCTCCATTCTCAGTGACCGATACCCAAGCATCTCACCCGCCAGTAAAATGACCTGTCTGTAAACCCACCGGATACCATAGAACGCAGGAACTGTATAGCCGCTTCTCCAGGGTGTGGCAAAACTGCAAACTGCAGGTCAGATCGGTCCAACTCTGGCCCATGGACAAAACAAAACAAGACAAAACAAAACAAAAACAAAGAAGAATGTACAGCAGAGACTGCAGTTAGCCCACAAAGCCTAAAATATTTACTATCTGGTCTTTATAGAAAAAGCTTGCCAACTCCTCCTGTAGTTTAACCCCTTCGTTTTGCTGCTGCAGAAATCAAAGTCTAGACTTCCCTACGGCCGCACAGGGAGAGTCTCAGTCCTGTGCTCCTGCCATGATGGGGTGTGGACACCCAGGAGCTTCAGAACTGTAAACATGGCTGCTGGGGAGGGCTGTGCGTGTCCCACTCACAGGTATTCTGTCCTAACTAGCTCTGGCCGGAGCTCCAGAATCAAACACATTCCCCGCAGGAGGCAGGATGGATTCCATGAACTCTTTCTCTCAAGGAGCCATCTGTCTCTCTTACCTACCCGGATCTATTCCCCTCCTGACTCCCTTCTCCTCCCATCTTCTACTCCTGATCTACCTAACCCTAACCCTAACCCTTGTTATAACGCACTTTTGCTTTGCCTTACAGGTTCACTGTTGGCCTATAACACGACCTCCCACACAGACCAATCCTCACGACTGAGTGTCAAAGAAGGTGAGTCTGTTCTCTCATGCATTTTCTTCAGTCCCAGGAACGGCACGGTTCCATGCTGTTAAGATTGGCGTGGGGAACTCCAAATCGGTGCACTCTTAACCTTAAAAACAAGATCGGTGGTTATTTTATGAGCAAAAACTGGTTTATGTGGGAAGGGCAGAGAATAGCAATTCAGGATAAACAAGCTATGGCGAAAGGATAGGTCAGCCCAACAAACAAAGGAGAGAGGAACGTTATTTTATGGAAAACATGGAGGAAGTTGGGAGGAGTTGTTGTGAATGTAAGTCCACTGGAGAAAAGTAAGAGTTCGGGGGTGATGACAGCTTCTCATTGGCTGAGGTGCAGGGGGTAGCTGATTTCTTATAGGAGATATAATGTACATCTTTCCCTGTTGGAACCTGTAACTGATGATTCTTTCCTGTTGAGATTCATCTGTTGTGGTAGGTCATTGACACATCTGTTGAAGTCTGTAATTGACCATTCTTCCTGTAATTGACATGTGAGTGGTACTGCCCCCCTCCCCCCACTAGGTCTCTCTTTCTGGCCCCCCAACTCCATTTTATTGAGGTTTCCCTTTGTTAATTTTCAAGCACCAAATCTTTTGTTCCGCTCAGATTTTTCTAGCATACAAGGCAAGAAGCCAAAGCATATCCCGCTTGCACTAACTGCAAAAATGCAGCAAGGTTTTGGGGCACCTGGTTGGCTCAGTTGTTGAGCATCGGACTCTTATTTCAGGTCAGGTCATGATCCTGGGGTCATGGGATCGAATCCTGAATTCGGCTCCACACTGAGCATGAAGCCTGCTTGAGCCTGCTTGAGCTTGAGTCTCTCTCTCTCCCCTTCTGCCCCTCTCCCTTGCTCACACACACACTCTCTCTCTCTCTCTCTCTCTCTCTCTCT